GGGCGGAATGTCATCCTACTGTCGAGGGTGACGCCTAAATATTTGACCTTCGGGGCCCACGGTATGGGCTGGTCGAACATCGTGATTGGGCGAACGGCGGGGGCGGAGGTGTTGACGCGCCTAGTCGGGAGGGGGATGCTCAGCGTGGTGTTCGGAGGGCGACCCCTTTTGAAGAGCACCGCTGTGCTTTTCGTGGGGTTGATGTCGATGCGCCACTTCCGGAACCACTGTCCCATGGTGGTAGCTGCGGTCTGAAGTCGTCGATGAAGCAACGCCTTCTTCCTACACGAGTAGTAGATGGCGGTGTCATCGGCGAAGACCGCCAGATGGGTCTCCGGAGACCGGGGTATATCATTGATATACAAATTGAATAGTAACGGGGAGAGGGCGGAGCCTTGCGGGACTCCGGCTGTGACGTGACGGGGCCAGGAACGCGTTCCCTCGACTCGATATCGGAACGAACGGTTCGACAAGTAGTCTCGTATGATGAGAGCATTTATAAAGAAGGAAGGAAGGAAATTTACGGGAGCTCCAAGTGTCGGACTGGCAAGGTGTTGCGCAGCGCCGGGATGAATGGCAAAGTTTATTGTCGGAGGCCAAGACCCACTTCGGGGTCATAGCGCCAGCTCAGTAGTAGTAGTATTTATAAAGAATATAACTAGAAAGAGTAAGTATGAAGTGTAAACTAAGTAAAATATTAGGTATATTATCTATGACTAATAACCTCTAACATGAAGCACTGTCTATGGCGAAAGGACATACGAATATGTCTATGGTGAAAATTAAAATGAGTCATATAGTCATATACACTACAAACTTACATACAAATAGGTAGGTATATTTATAGCTATATTGTACATATTATCAGAAAATATCTCAAAGATTTTGTTCTGACGGTGGGATAAAGGGAACGCGGGAAGAGTATCAAGCAGTAGGCAGCGGCTTGGCTATGCCCTTGGCATTGCTGAAGTCCATGGGCGACGGTAACCACTCACCATCAGGTGGGCCGTATGCTTGTCTGCCTACAAAGGCAACAAAAAAAAACGCAGGCTATACAACCAAATATTGACTAAAAATAAAATTTAAGTAATTTTTCCTCTATTCCTATTCGCTGGTAGCTTATGAAAAGTAGCCCAAGAAAACCTCATGATGTCGACAGATATATTATTTGATGTTCTCTCATGCGACCCGACTGACCACCGGCGCCACCCGCTACCTGGGGCGAGTGGTGTGAAATTGGCTACCGAAGCTTCCCATGAAGTGACTCGTCAGGCTTCAGAAGGAAGGATTGTTACTGGCGACTCGAAGACCATCTTAATACGCAAACAACAGCGTATTAGCACGTGGA